CCGATCATCAAGCTGGTCAAATACCATTGGACGCAGAGGGCGGTGCCAGAGAAACGCGGCGCCTGGGTCGAAGTCCGAACATGCCGCACTTCGTATTTACAAAAAAAATGTATCGTCACCAATTGGATTAGTAGAAAACTATTTGGCTCAATGGCCAGAGCCCACTTCAATCCCCTTCATAAGTCCCTGGTCCTCTGTGTGTATCTTGAGACGTGCCAGGTTGTCTGACACGCTCATCTGGTTTATGTTGAACCGTGTCATCGATTTTTTCTCATTGAAAATGATCTTTTCTGATATATGACCACCGTCCAATGGCAAATCGCCTTCAGACATACGTGATGTCACTAAGACAAATCGCCTACAGACACAAGGAGTGTCGCAAACACAAACCACCTACAAACATAAGGAGTGTCTCAAAGACATTTCGCCTGCAGACATAATGGGTGTCACAAATACAAACCGTCTACAGACATAAGGAGTGTCTCAAATACAAATCGTCTACAGGCATGCTTCCTCCATAACTTGTCATTATTATCTGCTGCTTTGCTTCGTACATCTACTATTATTGTTGTTGTTGTTTTTTTCTTATAACAACTGCCTACTGATGTATTTCGACATCTTTATAAGTTTTACGACAATATGAATGAAGAGGAGCTTTAACAAAAAAACAACAACAACCTTGACTTGAAGTGTGAAAGTAAACTAGAGTAGATGTTGACTCAATCAACTATAAGGACAGGGTTCAGGGTAACAGGTCTATGAGGGCAGTAACTAGAAAATATGTTTAAATTTTTATTCAAGGACAAGGTTTATGGTTCTTTAGCATGGACCGTTGTCATTTCCTTTAATTTAAATGAGATGCATGTGAAGGGGGATTTTTTTCAAAACTGCCGTTATCATTTTATCATTTTATTTTTTTTTTAAATGTTCATTATCCGTATCAACAAACAAACAAAAAATGTATGCTTGTTTCAATCTTTCTCAATGTCTCGACGTCATCACAAAGACGATGATCTGTCCCCTGTCAAAGTTAAGTTTAATGCTATAAAAAGAAGAAAAAATTAGTATAGTATTATAAAGTGCCGATTCAGTGTTCGTTGAGGCATCTGAGTTCCTTTACTCTATCTAAGATACTGAGAAGATTACTTACGTTTTTGAGTGTCCTAAGTGATGTGCTCATGCCTTGACAGATTTCTTGACGCAGCACAAAAGTGAACACAACATTGGCGATGAGTTTAAAAGGATGGCCCATAAAGCTGACCTGGCCAGAAAGGTTGATAACTTAATGTGTAAGGACAGTGACCGTCAGCTGCGCTGCCCTGCTGATTTCATAATAATATGCTAAGACAGAACTGTGTTCATCAGCCGGCTTTTAAAATAAGTATAGCAGATAATTAAGTTTGTCGGGGATAAAATTGAATTATAAAATAGAAATTAAAAAAAAAAAAAAGACTATCAAAGTGAAACCAAATTTATTAACAAATAACACAAAAAATTGACAAAAAATGGACTTCTTATTATTCTGATATTATCTGGGCAAATAATAATATGCTAAGACAGAACTGTGTTCATCAGCCGGCTTTTAAAACAAGTATAGAAGATAATTAAGTTTGTAGCGGATCAAACTGACATATAAAATAGAAATTAAAAAAAAAAAAAAGACTATCAAAGTGAAACCAAATTTATTAACAAATAACACAAAAAATTGACAAAAAATGGACTTCTTATTATTCTGATATTATCTGGGCAATTAAGGTTTAATATTTTATGTTAGTAGCAGGAGTAATAAAATAGCAAGTATATATCAATCTCGATATCACAATGATTTTGGGTATTCCTTCACACCTCTGATATAGAAAAAATTGTGGAGAAGTTAAATGTTGGGTATGATGATGTTCACAGTCAGAGGTTGGTAGGAATTACGACAAGCTACGGAAAAGTGGGGGGGGGGGGCGGCTTCCTTAGTTTTATTTACTGAACTTAGTCAGCTAGAAACCAGTGACAATAGACGAAGGCCGAGAGTTTTCTGTCCCTGTGGCAAAGCTAACTTATCGGTCATTCAAGTTGTCTAATGTGCCAATGATGACGTCCAAGTTGTTTCCGGCTCCCGGTGTGGTCATGCGCAGAGTACATCTGCATTAAGGGGTGTTTCTGATCTCGATGGTCTCATCACTCAATAGAGCAAACTCAGAGCGCACTTTTTAATGATGGAGACATTACATTGTGTCTGCACTGTGAAGCAATGTGTTACTCAATTAGAATACCTGTGTTTGGTACACATGCATTCGTATGCTACCTCTTTATTATGTTTTATGTAAGAGATACGGGAAAAATATGTTTTTTTTAAAGTACCTAAAAAATCATTGATATATTTTTTCAAGTATACAACTGTTGGTAACTGGTGTTAACCTCACTGAAATTTGAGCTTTTTGTCATCTATTCTCTGCTATAACAAAACACGAGAAGAACAAAAAAAGATAACTAAGAATAATAAGAAAACAGAAACCCACCAAAGTTGTAAGGTTTCAACAGTAAACAGGAAATTGGACCTCTCTAGAGGTCAAGAGATTTATTTCTTAATTCAGCTAATGAAGATTGAAAATATACATGGGTATCAGATATTTAAAATCAAATAATGGCATGGATTTCTACATGGGTAAATTATAAATAGGTATGTAAGTGTGTCTAAACGAATTAAAGTTGTGTCTCTTATTTATGATTTCAGGTGTGTCAGAACATGGATGTGTCTCTATGAGCAGGGTCAAGGTTGGTCTTGTGGGTGACTCGTGTGCTGATGTCAGAACCGCTCCAACTGGGCAGATAATAATACATTATGCGTTTGTTGCAGACGTAAGACAAGAAAATAAAAACCCCCTGGAGTCCGTTGATGACGACAGCAATAAATCTGTTTGAATAAATTATTGACGTGTTAGAAGTGAAAGCAAATTTCTGGGATCATCTTGAAAAGTTAAATCGGGTTACATCCCTTATTATTATTTATTTTTATTTGTTAAAAAATTTATTTTATCTTACAATTGAAGTAATCGTGATAACTAAAAAAAAAAAAAAAAAAAAAACAATTCCTTTTGACGATACCTCAAGACATCATTTTCTAAATTTTCAGCCAAGATGGACACGGCCCAGAATGCACCGGTCATAGTGGACAGCTTGACATACACGTGCAAGTTCTTGTGGTCATCCTTGCTGAACGTGTTGGGCTTGTGGAGTTTGCGGACCGTGCTGATGGCCACGACGGTCACACAGAAGAAGATGATGTTGCAGGTCGAGACGGCGAGTGCTGGCCCAGCCACCGCAACACCTTAGGGAGCACGAACATACAATCGTGTTTTTTGTGTGCGTCATGAATTGAAATCGAATACATTCTATTGGCCTCTCACGATTATTAAAATATTCTAATACTAACATGACAAAACGATCAATTCTTTCAATATAATCCTAAAATCTCTACTTATTTGTTTAATCTTTTATATCAAATTCGCTTTTGTTCGTGGCTGGCTGACGGGCAAAATCTTCGGACGGCTAATTGACACACTTCTCGTCAGCATATCTAACTGAAACTTGGCACATAGAGTTGTTGCAGATGACAACACGTTCTATCAAATTTGTAGCACAACAGCCCCCCCCCCCAAAAAAAAAAATTAAAAAAAACAAACAAAAAAATTTTTCAAGGGGAAGGTTAAGAAAATATAATAACGTAGATTTCAAGAAATAAAATTCTCACGGGCAAAACCTTCGGACGGCTAATTGACACACTTCTCGTCAGCATATCTAACTGAAACTTGGCACATAGAGTTGTTGCAGATGACAACACGTTCTAACAAATTTGTAGCACAACAGCCCCCCCCCCCAAAAAAAAAAATTAAAAAAAACAAACAAAAAAATTTTTCAAGGGGAAGGTTAAGGAAATATGATGACGTGGATTTCAAGAAATACAATTCTCGATATCTAAATGAGTTTCTTTATGGGGAAAAAATCGCAAACGCGTTTGGTGCGTAATATTTTCTTTTGGTTTCCTGAAATAGTTGGTGAAATAAAAGTGCGATGCAAAAGAGGGTGGGTCGTTAGAATATTTATGTTAAGTGGAAAACGAGGAGCACCTATTGCACAAATGAGCTGACCTGATGCTGTAATGAGCTTAAATTAACCACTTCAACGACACTAACCGTTTGAAAAGGAAACGTTAATCTTGTATGAAGTTATTCATTTTTTTATAAGAGCTACTGGCATCGAGTGGAATAGCAGGGTAAAAGAGCAGACTGCACTGAGTGGAAGAGCAAGGTAAAAGAGCAGACTGCACTGAGTGGAATAGCAAGGTAAAAGAGCAGACTGCACTGAGTGGAATAGCAAGGTAAAAGAGCAGACTGCACTGAGTGGAATAGCAAGGTGAAAGAGCAGACTGCACTGAGTGGAATAGCAAGGTAAATGAGCAGACTGCACTGAGTGGAATAGAAAGGTAAAAGAGCAGACTGCACTGAGTGGAATAGCAAGGTAAAAGAGCAGACTGCACTGAGTGGAGTAGCAAGGTAAAAGAGCAGACTGCACTGAGTGGAATAGAAAGGTAAAAGAGCAGACTGCACTGAGTGGAATAGAAAGGTAAAAGAGCAGACTGCATTGAGTGGAATAGCAGGGTCACAAAGAAGATTACACTGAGTGGGATAGCAGGGTCACGGAGCAACTTGCACTGAGAGAACTGCAGGGCTACAGAACAGATTGCACTGAGTGGAAAAGTAAGGTCATGAAGCAACTTGCACTGAGGGGAACTGCGGGGCACAGAACAGATTGCACTGAGTGGAAAAGCAGGGTCACGGAGCTATGCTTTATATTCGCAAACATTTTGACGAAATAGATGAAAGAATTATTATTTCATGTATTTGGGTCACATGACCAGACCTGACCTTGGATTATCTCAACCAGTTGAACTGGTTCCATGCGTACGAGCCACCAAAGAGTGTGTCTGCCAGCATATCCACCCACCTACCTACAACCACCTCTTGGTCCAGGTAACATTGTGTTAAACCGTATCCGATCTCCTCCCCGTGCGAGCTGACCCCGCTGTAACAGATGACGGTTGCAATCACAACGGCGGGAAGAGCCAAAGACCCGAGTGACAGCTTCAGGAGACGGACACGCCTCTTTCGGCCCGTGGGGGCGTGGCTGCGAGTTTTGGCGGTGAACACGCGCAGCATCTGGAAGCTGCAGATGAAGGTCCAGGTAAACTTGAGCAGCCAGACAAAGTGGGTCACAATGCCGAGTGTTGTACACAATGTGCTTGGCGGCTTCCTGTGTGAAGTAATTGCAATGTTTTATTACTGGATATCCTGTGTAAAGTAAGTGCAAGGTTGTATTACTGGATATCCTGTGTAAAGTAAGTGCATGGTTGTATTACTGGATATACTGTGTAAAGTAAGTGCATGGTTGTATTACTGTATATCCTGTGTAAAGTAAGTGCATGGTTGTATTACTGGATATCCTGTGTAAAGTAAGTGCATGGTTGTATTACTGGATATCCTGTGTAAAGTAAGTGCATGGTTGTATTACTAGTCAATCTGTTCAGCAAAGGTGCTCCAAAACCAAAATTAACATACGCATTCCTTCGTTTCTTGATATTTCAATTATCTTTCGTCATTGTTTGATTAATCCACCATTAATAATCGCCTGAAACATTTCGGTGTGCTTGCTGTAAATGTATGCATTATAGCGGTGTATGAACAATTAGTGTTTTGTAGCAAGGGATATTGAGAAAAACGTTTAGAAAATGTAGACACGTATCCCCCTTTATCATGCACCCGAAATAATCTCCTAGACAAAGCTACAAGGCGTGTACTTACACGTGACTGCTGGCTACCAGCAGAGCTTGAGCACACAGAAGAGTCGCTGACAGAAGCACAGTGTGCATACCCGCCATGGTCCTCAGGGCCGGAAACCTGCAGTACGTGATCAGAGTCAAAACGAGGCCCAACATGGACGCCCCGAGTGACACCATTGTCACCAGGTACAAGGCGTTGTTCACCGGGGCCTGTTTGGAGCTCGTCTTTACCCCCGTAAGCTTTTCGTCCAGGAGCTCCTCGCATACGTTAAGGCAACCATCACTTGTTATCGCCAACATATTCAAATCAGGTATTTCAGAGAAATTCAGTGTGACCGCGCCTAGGTTCACGGACACGGTCACGCTGAAGGGAACCGTTGAAGTCTGGGCGGTGTACTGTGATGAGTTAAAGCTAACAAAACGGCACCCGAGTGTGCTGGTGAACAAAATCGAGGTATTTGTTTTAGGAAGCATTTTGTTTTGAGAGTAGTTATCCGTGACGACATTACAAACATTGTCGCTGGGTGTCTGATCGCAAGAAGTCGTAAAATCAAAGTCTCCTAGGACGACATACGGCGTCAGTTTTATATCGCTTGTGCCATTTACATCCACATAAATGATTTGTTGAACCAATGTTTCAGACAAACGTCTTTCCACGACGTCCCTGGTGAGCTTTCCGTCAGAAATCATCGCTATTTCAGACCAGTACAAAAATGACGTCTGTGCCGTAGCAGGACGGTCAGTGCCAGTGGTCTGTCTCGTAGCAGGACGGTCAGTGGTCTGTCTTGAATCTTCAAGCGTCCCACACTGGATGGCGTAGTTTTGTGTAACTGCTTCCAAATAGAGTTCAAGCTGTCGAATAAAACGTACTGAAACATGACCACTTTGTAAATATTATATTTTAATTCATAACTTATGTAGACGTATTTGAGCTCTATTATTTTAATGGCGATAAATCATCAGATTTTTAATATCTTGCAGCATTCAAATATTATGAAATTTTACAATTATTTTTTTTTAAACGTAAAAAATATTTATGATTTACTGTGAAATTTCATTGCAGCGATAAAAGAATCTCATATAAATTATAATCACGACCTCAAATTAAAATATCCCTCTTTAAATTTCAAGCGTCATTGTCCAAATGTGTTTTTTTAAAGGAAACATATGTGAAGTTCACCTTGGCTAGGATCATCCGTGAAAACAGAAAAACGTCAAGGCCATCTTGCAGATGGTTAACATCCGGTATGAGCCATAACCTAATTGTGTAGGACAAGGCAGCCATCTGCGGGAATATGGCAACACAAGTTTTGTTCTCTGCTCTTTTACCGGGAACACAATGTAATGACATACACCGTCCCTGGAAATAAAGATTTCAGAACACTTTTTATTCATAATACAAGCGTGTTTCTGCAAGAGGAAGAGCGTTTAAACACTGATTGTTTCTGAAAACATAAGTGTGTGGTGAACCTTGGAGATATTTTTTTTTTGGTGGAAAAAATGTATTATATTTCAGAATGAGGCTGAGTCACGTATAGATGTCTTCCAGACCTGTTGTTTTGTTTTAGGGTGTCTAATTATTCCTACTTTTAAAATTTGTTTTTTAAAGCCATTGCACATTAGTTAAGGGGCAGAAAGGGTGGGGAAGGGCATTAGGCTTGACCATACGCTAAACAAGTGGTGTATTTTGGCTTGATCTTACACTAAAGAGACTGAGGTAACTATAGCGGTAACTCATGGCGACTGCTGAAACTACCTTGGAGACCATAAATGTAAATGTACACATTAAATCTTAATAAATAATAGACCAGGAATTAATTGTGATCAATCATGGCCAAGAGAGATTACTTGAACATTTCCCATGAAACATTTTTTTTTATTACTTTCTTAACCTGCGACCTTTTTTTTTAAATTTTGGGATACCGCCAGAAATAAATGGACAGACACCTCATTGGCGACCTCGACCGAGATGGGCTCATGACGAGTAGGCTGATCTTTGACCATATCGGCGGCTGGATATGAAAAGGAAAAGTTTTTTTTAACGATTCTAATGGGAACTGGGGGTGTTTGCAGAGCTGGACCCAGTGGCCGAAGTCTCGTGGAGATATAATGACTGAGATATGAGATATGTTTAAAGAGTGGTTGCCCGTTGTGGATTTATTTTGAGGACCACGAATTATTGCGTTTGTGTGTGTGTTGTTTGTTGTTGTTGTTGTTTTTTTAAAGCATATCGTTGTGTTTGAAGCAGTAAACAATTAATTGCATACTCACATCTGGAGAAGGCCATTCTGCGTCTGAGCAGTTGGAGTGCGTACTGGGTGGTGGCCTAGGTGTATCGTGTTTCATAAAACTTAACAACATGGTGAACGGCAATGGATCAGGTACGCCAGCCTTGGTTTCGTTACACTGACATGAATCTCCATACCCAGGGTACATGTCCTGTGGACAGAGAACACGTACACAAATGTCAGACTCATTAGACGCCAACAGTTTAGGTGAGTAAAATAATATTATGTTCAGCTTTAATGATGATTTTATCAAACACAAATGTTCACGTATCCATAATACAAATGTCCCCCACACATAACTCGCAGATATCAAACACTTGAAATAGCCTAGCGCTTAAATTGCACATTTGCAGAAAATTATTACATTTTTTTTAAAATTGGATGTGTATTTCACGAAAACATGTGATGGTCTTGTCCGTAATTAAATTTGATTTTCTGATTAACTCATTCCCACGAGAGCATAATTTTATTCATGTAGGACGCCCTATTAATGCCAAAAGTAACACAAAAAATATGTTGCATTTTTTATCAAACTTGACGCAATCTGTTTATGAATGTACACTTTGTTGAGTCTTTTTTCTGTTTGGTTAAAGAATGCAAACTAATAATTTCGATCCTAACTGGGCAATGTATAATTCTATATAAGGGCATAGAGTCCTTGTGATCTTCGATGAGGGGCTTTCACAGCATTTAGCCATGAGTCGCTGTCACAGTACTAGCCACGAGTCGTTGTCACACTACTTAGCCACGAGTCATTGTCATAGCACTTAGCCATGAGTCGCTGTCACAGTACTTAGCAACGAGGCGCTGTCACAGTACTTAGCCTCGAGTTGCTGTCACAGTACTTAGCCACGAGTCGCTGTCACAGTACTTAGCCTCGAGTCGCTGTCACAGTACTTAGCCACGAGTCGCTGTCACGGTACTTAGCCACGAGTCGCTTTCACAGCGGTTATTCGACAGAAGCAGTTCTTCAAACAGGCCACCGAAATTAATGTCCAGCAAAATAAGCTCTGGTATGTGTGTGTGTGTGTTGTTGTTGTTGTTTTAACCTTCTATCCCTACTAACCGTGTTACAAACGGCGCAGAACACATTCTTGTAGTACTGGCCGGTGAATGGTGAGTGGACAGTGTGGATAGCATCTGTGAGGTCAGCACACGCCTGGACAACGTCCTTGTCATGGTACATCTCAGTGTCAGGCTGGGAACAGCTGTCAATGACTTTTCTGAAAGCATATTGTGGTTTAAAGCTATTATTTTAATCCTTGTGTTCATCGGATACACGCAAGAAAACAGCCTGAAATCTTAAGCACTCATTTCACATCTACAACACACTTTTGAGGATAATAGAATTTTTAAATTTTGCTTACACACCGTATATTACTTCTACCTGAACTATTTTAAGTCTTGTAAAATATTAAAATACATAGAGTTATTTTTTCTTCGCCAACATTCATATAAATAACGCAATTCTAGTATGCCCATCTGGAGCATTGGATTAGACCAGTGGATCTCAAACTTCCTATTGCCGCGACCATAAACTACAGCTCCTAATGTTGTGATGATCCCCAACTATAAACTTATTCTCGTTGCTACTTTTTAAATATGTTTTTTTTTCCGAGATCGTAGGCGACCCCTGTGTAAAGGTCGTTCGACCCTAAAATGTGTCTCGACCCACAGGATGAGAACCGCGGCATTAGACAGACGACTTTACTTTGGACAAGACATCATTCTACTGGTCGTAATTCAATCAATATTAATGTACAGAGTATTCAAGATGTAACACCATTTACAAGTTGACTGCTTGACTACTTTCGGGCCATACTTTGGTGCCGTATGTTGTTTCTTGGATTAGCTACCTTTTTACAATAATCACCTGAATTTACAATCCTCACCTGAAACTGCAATCCTCACCTGAAAATACAATCCTCACCTGAAATTACCATCCTCACCTGAAACTACCATCCTCACAAGTAAGCCTGACAGCGCCCTCGGGTACGATTTGTTCAACCCTGCAGTTGGGGTCATCCATCGCACGTTGAAATAACTCCTCTGTCTCCTGGGAGTCGTAGAGATTCATGAACGTCTTGCATTCTATTTTTATGTTCATCTGCAAAGCCTGGGGAAAAAAAGGTGTTTCCTTTTTTGAAGTTCTCTATTGGAAGTTAAGTTCGTTCTTGTCTATTGTGTCAACATTTGAATAGGACAGAGTGTTGTCCCATGTCATATTATGAATTGACCACAGTTTGGCTCCACTAACTAAACCTTGCAAGCCTAGTTCAAGCGCTGGATGATAGAACACAACACGTCTCAAGAGAAGCACCTCGCTACAAATCTATGGTTTTTAACCGTTTGTATTAAAATCGCTTTTTTTCGTGGCTGGCCAATTCTTCGGACGGCTAATTGACCCACTTCCCGTCAACCCATCGAGCTGAAACTTGGCACACAGACTCGTAGCCGATGGCAACACATTCTTTTTAATTTTTAGCCCCCCCCCCCACCCCCCCCCCCCCCCAAATATATTTTTTCTTCTGTTTTTCAAAGGGAAGATGTATGAAATTTGATGCAACTTAAATTCACGAAATAAAATTCCCGTTAACTGCGCTGAATGAGATTCTACTTTTAAAAAAAAAAATCGCTAGATCGTTTGGTGCGTAATATTTGCTTTTGTTTTTCTGAACTAGTTGGTGTCATAAATCTGCGGTGTAAGAGAAGGTGGCTCATTACAATAGTAATATAAAATAAAACAATGTAAAATACATACAAAGGATTTGATTGAAAAACATAGTTTTTAGAGGTCGTTTAATTATTAAATGTTTAAGGTGAAATAAGTTAAATGGATAAAATCACTCTTAAGCTAAATTACTCATCAGAATCATTTTGTCGTCTTAATTTAAACGCACCCAA